CCAAATTCTTTACAGGAATGGAGATCAGGAAGGGGAGGAGCGACCAACAAGAAAGGGAAAGCAGAAGGACAGCTGCCGCTGCAGCTGAGCTTGAGGATGTTGCTGAAGCAGTAAAGAAGGCAATGAAGGATCAAGATAAAACTGACTGGTGTAAAGCTACCAAAGGAAAGAACAAAGGCAAGATCTATTACCAGGAGAGAGGGCCCAGGGTACAGGATGATTGTGAGTTTGATCCAACACTGCTTGATCAGTATCCCTGTCTTGTTTGCAAACACTACTCTATTATGCCAGTTGATGATTTGAGGGAGGTTGAGGAGTATAATGAAAAGCAGAGGAAGAAGCATGAGGAGGCTGTTGCTGCTCATGATGCTGAGAACAGTAACCTTCGAGGGCGTCCACGGAATAATGATCAAATGGATGTGAGGATGGCTTGCTTCTGTTGTCAGATCTCTTGCAGGTTGGATACTGCTGGGGGGAACTGTCCTGAATGTAGCAAGCCTAGTGCTGACTATCTGGAGTACGAGGATGGCGTGCCAGTCGCTTGCCACTGTCCTCTTTGCAACTGCAGCTGTAAGATCTATTTTTATGCAAGCCAGAGGTGGAAGTGCAAAATGAATCAAAAGAGGGAGGCGAATGGTCCTTTGCCACAGGAAGACTATGCTGACAATCCTTTAGAACAGTTGAACAATATTGTTTCCCACCATCTCTTTCAGGGCGCTTTGGATGCTGCGAGGGAAGGCTGTCATCCACTGGAGACTGATGAATTCAACCAGGACGCCATTGGATATGCTGCTGATCATTTGAAGAAAGACATTCACTTTCAGTCTAATCTTGGGTTCAGGAATGCTGTGCAAAAGCAGGTTCCTAGGGGATTGACTACCAAGGAACATGGTCTTTCCATTCATCAGATCAGGCGTGGGGATGCCCCCACTAGGAGGAGGATGGGTGTGTCTGTCCAGCAGCAGCAACAGCAGCAGTCGCGGCAGCAGCAATCGCGGGTTCAGCAGTCCAGTAGGGTCCCATTTCAACAACCCCATCCGGTGTCTTTTTCTGCTAGTGATAGGAGGAATGCAAGGCATTACAGCAACAGAAACTACAGTGATAGGGGGCACAGGAATGATCTTGGTGGTGACAGGGGTCTTGCTAGGTTACCAGCAAAGCACGCCCCTCTTGCTTCTAAGCTGAGGGCTGCTGCTGGCCAGGATGTCGTTGATATCGCTGGTTCAAGCAGTAGCGAGGACGAGTACACTCCTCCTGTTGTTGGTAGGAATATGATCCATCCTCATTGCACTCCCTATACTAGTGATTTAGCTTGCGAGGAAGAGACCCTTCCCTTTGATGTAAAGCTGAGACAACAAATCCTCATGCGTTTGACTGATCCTGGTGCTGGTGTGGAAGATACTCCTACAACTCGTTCTGCTTTACATCGCATCAATACATTGCTTTCATCTTCCTCTGCTGGTGCTGAGATGCAGGAGGTTCAACAACTGATGACTTGGATACATGATTTTAGGCATCTGTTTAATGGTGAGATAGTGGCAACTATTGAGGGTTTGATTAAGGCTTTGAAGAGGGATGCTGCCAGTGATAGAATGCAAGCTGCTCGTATGCCGGCTGCTGGCTCTGCTTGGATGCCAGCTTCTGGAGCTGCTCGGATGCCAACTGCTGGTGCTGCTCGTATACTGGCTGCTGGCGCTGCTCGGTTGCCAGCTGCTGGCGCTGCTTGTGCTGCTTTGCCAGTTGCTGGCGCTGCTCGGATGCCAGCTGCTAGAGCTGCTCAGTTGCCAGCTCGGATGCCAGTACCAGCAGCAGCTGAATCGATGCTGGATACTAGATTGCCTAGTACTACTAGATGGCAATCAGCTGGTGCTGGGACATCTGGTGTTGCAGCAAGGAAGAACCCTCATCTAAAGCTTCCTCCAGCTGCAGAGTTGAAGAAGCCTCCTCCAGGTGCAGGGAACAAGCGTCCTCCAAGAAAGAAATCAAAACGCGTGGCAAAAAGAGTAGCAGTAGCAAAGGAACCAACCAAGGAAGAAAAGAAAGCGGCGATGGAAGCAAAGAAAGCAGMAAAGGAAGCGGAAGCAGCTAGGGTTGCAGCACAGGAGAAAAGGGCAAAGGAGCTGTTTGAGCAGAGTCGAGCTAAGTATTTGAAGAAAAGAGCRGAAGAACATGAGGCTCRGAGGAAGATGAAGAGGAGTGATGATAGTATGAGCAGCTTTGGTAGTGGTGGAAGTGGAAACAGCAGTTCCTCCAGCAAAATTAGTAGATACGAGACGCCATAGATTCCAAACGCGCCCAGGACAGCTCAAAGGCGCGGCTTGCTGGTCCTTGGGGTATTGCTCAGGTCTATTGCAACTACTCTTGGTAGATATCATTCTTACTAAAGATAAAGTGTTTACAAATAGTACTGCTAGTAGATGAAGGACCACGCGTTGGATCCATTCCTCTTAAGTATGGTCAATCGATTCAACCGACTGTTACTGTATTCAATCGATTCAACCGACTGCTGTATTCAATCGATTCAACCGACTGTTACTGTATTCAATCGATTCNTCAACCGACTGTTACTGTATTCAATCGATTCAACCGACTGCTGTATTCAATCGATTCAACCGACTGTTACTGTATTCAATCGATTCAACCGACTGTTATTCAATCGGTCTAGTCGATCCATCATCCGGATCGATTGAGCATCCGAGGAAGGAGCTGGAAGCTCTTCCAGGGGACTGGAATCCAAGCGTCTCCAGTGGGACTTAGTTTCCAGAGGCCCAGGATGAGTTGCCACGCCAGCGAGCCACGCTCCAGGGGATTCCTCCAGTCCATTACAACTACTACCCCGCGGATCCAGCTCATGTGCTGGAGACCATCGAGGTGCTGTTGTTGTTCCTTTTGCTTAATCATCATAGTTTCCATCCAAACTGTATCCACAGTGAGCAAAGGTAGCATCAATACCTTTGATAGACCTACCAGCCTCCCTGTAAAGCGCTGCTTCAAGCTCACTAGGTCCCCAGTCAGCACGCGCCTCTCTAGATACTGCTGAGACTAGATCAAGGATCTTAAATTCGATAGGCCCATACTTTGGCTGGTAAGGAGGCCTGGGAATAGCTTGAAACTTAGTTGGTTTTGGATCTGGTCTAAAGACCAACTTCAATCCAACTTCAGTGGAAAGATGAGAGCCAAGATTGTCCCACAGGAAGATCCTCTCMTCATCAGTATCACCAGGCGCTGGATTTGCCTCGATGTCCTTGCAAATACTGTCCACAAAGTTAGCAAAGATTCTGGAGGTTGTTCCCTTTTGCTGAATCACTTTGATCCATCTCCTTGGATATTGAATGCTTCCTCTAGACCCTGGAGGCAAACGYGGATCCCCTGGCTCCACAGCAAGCAAGATAGTCAGCTTCATGTCCCTTTTGTAGGCTCCAGGAGTCCTTACTCTAAAGCAAGCAAGCGCGCATCCCTTCCTGTCATTAGTCCTCTTCATATCCATCCCAAACTCGTCCACATCAATGAACTTCCTCCTTGGAATACCAACTATTCCACATGGAGGGGGATCATTCCAAAAGGTCTCAGCCCTCCAGATACACTCAGGAGTAAAGGCTTGATAGGCTTCCGTAGAGGGGACCTTCTGTGTCATATCTAAACCATTCAGTCTCCTACTGATCTGTGATCTGCAGTATATGTTGCCAGATCTGTTATAGACAAAAGTCGCAACTTCATCATAGCTTGCAGTTGGATAGATCCACATGAACAGAACCATGTCAAAGAGATCCCAAGACACCAGTTTGGTCTGGCTATTGTTTCCAGTCATCCTATAGCGCTTGATCCTACTGTTTGCCCATCTGCTGACTGAAGACTTGCTAGCGAAAGCAGGAGGAAGACCAGCCTGCCTCCTTGCCAGTTCTGCCAGTCTAACATGCACATCATATCCCCTACTCCCTCCCCTAGAAGGATGAGGCCTCTCAGCTCTTTCTTGTTGCGTTAGTCTAGTTAATCCATGCTGGGATCGGAGCTTGGCAACCTTATCTGCTGGATCGTTGCTCATACTGCCGACGTCGGTCGAAAAAGAAGCAGTCTCGTCGTGAAAAAGAAGCTACACTGAACACACTATAAAATCTGTTACACTTGCTTGTTTGCTACAGTTCAAGGCTTGTTCAATCGACAATTGAAGAGAGCTATCGATTGATACCAAGTACAGTGTAAAAGATTGAGTGTAAGTGCTTGGAATGGAGCAATTCCCATGGTCGGTTCCTTTGAACCGAGGAGTTTTTCTTTAGAATGAAAAGAACAGTTTAGCACGCTGTATCAGCACGCTGGAGGTAGGTAAAGGTCATGACACTAGGACACAGTACAATTTTGTACCTGCAATCAAAACCCTTCTATTTTGACCAAAATCGCAAGGCAAAACCTTGATCCACGATTTTCTACAGGATTTTCTACACAGCTTTGTACTAGGATCCATCCAAATAGACTGATCCTGGTCCTCGCTGAGCAGCTGATCCAGCTGCTGACCTGCTGGCGTGCCACCACCGGGGCTAGTAGAGATCCTACGTAGGCCTACTCCGCTAACGTACGGAATGTTGTCTTAACATTCGGAATGTTAGCGCTAACATACAGAACGTTAAATTAACGTTCCCAATGCCTTACTTAACGTAGTTTCAATTGATCTGCAACGCGTAGTAGTAAAAACTGGAGTATCCGTACCGTACCATACTATTACGAGTGTCCCTGTACAAAGTAGAAGTACTAACTCTCGTAACGTTCGTACCAGTACCTGTACGTACGAGCACGAACATGTACGGTAGGTGTCTCACTTTTTCAGGACGTCCGGTATTTCTTTCGATTTTTTATTTTTCTGTCCTCCGATCGCTGTTGATACCAAAACCACAGAAGTATGGTGCTACCGTACGCATTCTGAATTCCATCCAGTCAAAAAGATTCGGTCAAATTCAAGGTAATATCGAGACATAAGGCAGTAATATTGTATGAGGTAATAATACCATCGATAGTGAAAATACAGTTTGCTGAAGTGTTTAGAGACAAGCAGAAAGCCTTTTGTTCGCCGAGGCGAAGCATATTCCAAACAATGGTAGGGTTCGGAAGGTCTTTGAAGCGGTCACGCCGTCAAGGCTGGGAGGCGGCATACTTAGATTACAATAAACTGAAAAGAATCCTATATCAACTCGAGAGATCTATGTTGAATCAAAGCAATGTCATAGAAAATCGCATAAGCCAAAATGACGATGCGATATTGGGAGACGTAGCTGGTCGGAGGTGCCATCAAATCAACGAAGAATTCTATCTGGAGCTCGGACAGGAAATAGAGAAGATATCGCTTTTTACTCTGAAGATACAAGGTTTGCTCTCAGAAGCTATTGGCTATTATCGCTTTCGAGATGACGACACAATCAAGGTGGCCAAACTTTTTCCTGATAATTTTTCCATCTCTCGAGAGCACTACAATGGTATACCGGGCGATGATCTCGAAATGTGTCTTATTTTGGGCGTGGAACTTTTATTTTTGATGCAATTTGTCGGTGTAAACATTCTCGGGGTCCGAAAGGTCATGAAAAAGTACAACAAGATTATTCGACGTGCAAACAAACCAGAATACATATTCATCGTGGGTGGTAAGGATGACTTTCATCTCGAACTTATCGCAAACTCCCAATCCCTTTCCGCTATTCATTCCTCTCTACAATCGTTATTGGTTGACTTCCATTGCAAATATAAGCTACTTACCAAGGATACTACAAGGGAACTTAATTTTTTTCGCTTCCAATCAATTGTTCAAGCGGGTTATGTCATTCAAAAGAATTCAGAAATCGTCAATCAACCCTTCAAGGAATTTTTAAGTCGGAAGGCGATGATCAATGTCGGATCGAGTCTAGGAGGCATCGAGGGCAATGAAATGCATGCTGTGAATGTTGTGTTGAGTTTCCGCCCCATCGGAATGCTGACTTCCGACTTCGATGAACTTGATGGGATGTGGATCAGATGGTTCCCCCAGTACCATCACTGGAAGGATAGAGCGTCGAAGCAGATGGATACCAAATTGCATCTTACAGATATCACACACTATATCATGGGAGTTCTTGCACTAGAAGAGGTCGATCGACATACACGGACACGGAACAAATTGTACCTTCGCGGACCCAAATTGAATGGGTTGGATTTTAAAGAAAAGTCATGGGGTGGAGTGGATATGCCGAGTATGATTTTAAATCTCGCATCAATTCTATTGTACACGATCAATTACTACATCATAGCGCCGACTGCAAATCACTACGCAGTAGTCCTCGGCGCGGACGGTGCTTATGGTGCGACTCTGATAGGAACATCCTCTTTTTCTGCAATAATTGCTGCTTTACTATATTCATTTTGGTTCACAAATTGTTCCTTCAAGTCTGCCTTAATTTTCTCTTCGATTTGTCCCATATTTGGAAACCTGATCTACGCTTTGGCTATTTCTTACGATAGTATGGGACTGGCTTTAACCGGCCGCTTTCTTTGTGGATTCGGATCTGCAGAAGTGGTCAACCGCCAACTCATATCGACTTGTGTCTCCTTCAAACAAATAACACGCGCTAGCGCCTTCTTCGTTGCAGCTGGGGCCATGGGAATGTCTGTCGGCCCCCTTATTGCCGCCATTCTCGACGATACAACGGGACGAGACTACTTGGTTGATTTTCATCTCCCATTTACACCTGCTGGAGGTATTATTTTCAATTCTGTCACCAGTCCTGGTTTCTTGATGGCGATTTTGTGGTTGGCTGAGTTGCTCTGCTTGATATTTTACTTCTGTGAACCAGAGCGAGTCAATGCAGTAGAAGATGAATTCGAAGAGGTAGAAATTCGTATGGAGTCACTGCCCCTGATGGGAAAAGATTATGGATCGATTGGAGACGAACGGATATCCAATACTTCAATAGGAAGCTCGAATTTAGACTTGAACAACAACAGCAACAGATCATCAAGCCCTGAACCGTTGAAGATCGCAGAAGGTTTTTGGGGTGGAATCATATCTGCTTGTTCACTTATATGTGTCAACCAAGGGCTCCCTGTTACTCTCGTATTGTTCTGTTACATAGAGCTTGTAGACGAAGTCTTGATTTCGTCTTGCTCGATGATTGTCCGTCGTTACTTTGGTTGGAATGCCTCAGCTGCTGGATACTTAGTTGCATGGTAAGTGTACACAATCCACTTTTTCCTTTCTTGGAAATCAGCGATTGCTTTCACCGAAAAGTTCACGTGCCATTTTCCATTTCGTTCTAAATTCTTTCAGTTTGGGAGGACTTGTACTCCCAGGTAAGTTTAGATGTCTCCATATCCTTGTTTTTCGTACTGTGTTATGATGATGAAGCGATATGACCATTTGACATCACTCTGAGAGAGATACTAATGGCTGTGGTCCGTGACTTCATTTTATCGATTCCGTAGCAAATTTTGTAGTTGAGATCTTTTCCCGCCGTCTTTCCGAGCGATTCATCATGAAGGTAAGACTGCTGCATGATGAGGGGAAATCTGCACTTTTCAAACCTACTCTCGGATCAACTGAACTGTTTCTACATGCATTTTCAAACCAACGCAGGTGTCAATTTGGTTCATTATCGTTTGCGGTCTTGGAATGTTCAATTACCAAGGTCTCTACTACGACATGATTGGTATTTCTAAGTATGGGGAGTTTGATCCAATTGATGAAGCTGAGCTGAAAGAGTTGCAACTCTCGGGTATGACCGTAGGTCAACTATTCGCGGATGCGAAAGAATTTCCGTACGATTGGAATTACGGTGTGATGATTTACATTACTTTTTTGAGCTTCACGTTTGCCGGGACTATTGTTCTTGAGGGTGAGTTTCTTCGCATGCCCAGTGGATCCGTTTTGGATTGGTGATCTCTATGAAGTGCTGCATGCCTCACATGTTTTATGTTCTGCATCCCTATAGGTGTAACGACTTCAATAATGGCTCAAGCTACGCCACCTAAGCTTAACACTTGCTTTGTCAACTCAGGGCTGTTAGCAACGCTGATTGGTACGCTCGGCCGAGTTCTTTCGGATTCTATGATAACAATGGCTGCACTTCTCGACATTCATGTTTTTATCGATTTTGTCAATGCGACGTTTTTCCCTCTGATTATATTGACTGCTGGATGCCTGATCCTCGTTTACAAATATTATGACAAGCTTGTCTAATGGCTGTTCTACTGAGCACGAAATATACAGCTTGATGATATTTTTTAGGAGCAATGGGAAAGACTAAGTTTGATTTTATAACAAGGAAATAAAGTTGCAAAGAATCAACGTTCTCAATAAGAATCACGTCTACAAAAGCCGTTGCTCTTCTAGATATATGTAATCACATACAAGGGAACAAACAAGAACTGTGGGAAAAGTTACGGTCCCAATATTTCCGTGGCGATATCCATTCCGGTGTTACTGTCGCCACCTCTCTCTTCCTCCGTGATTGTTTGCATCACAGCCGCCTGAAATCTCTGAAAACTCATTCTGAAAAAAAGGAGTCGGTTAAAAAGCAGCAAATTAGTTCACCACAGTGTTTAAGGAAATAAAGCGATGCCAAACTCTCATTGGTCGTCAAAGTGACGTATTGTAGCGGTACTACTCACGATTGCATGTAAACTCTTCCCGGACCGGTCAGGGTAGTCGAGAAGCAACCTTCTCCGCCAAAGCAACAGGTACAAAAACTCCCATTGAAACGGATGCCCATGTGGACAGAATCTTCGAAACCAACGAGGCTTCCAGTATCCACCGTAACCGTTTCACCCTCTTTCAAATGCTTGTACACGATGGTTCCTCCCGCATTGAGGAATGCAATGCTACCGTCCGAACCAGAAAGCTTTTGACGGCAGCACCCTAGACCGGCGCAGCAACAAGTAGCAATACTACAGTCAAGACTACAACCGACATCGACGTCGCCCAATTCTGCCATGTACGCACCGCCTTTCGTGATCATGTTTCTTCCAGATTCTATGTGGGTGCCAAACTTGATAGGTATTACCTGTGGTCGGTGGTGTTCGAAAAGGCAAGGTCGAGACAGAGATCAAAATCGAAACAATTGATTCCAAAAAGCTCTGCGCAGTGAGCTTTAAGAAAGCAAAAGAGAAAATTATATTCGCGTGCATAGGACCAAATCGATCGAGTCCTCCGAATCCCGGCTTACCTTGGCTGGAAAATTGGGTGTTAGACCAACGTATCCTTGTTCGTCGCTCTCGTTAATCAACAGAACCTTGACACAGGATTCTCCTCCACAGACTCGTTTCCAGGCCTCTCCACAGGTGTTCATCTTGCAGAGTGTGCACTCGACCTGCGTTTCCATCCCAGGATGCATGTACATGAAGGAACCGACCTCCGTGATGATCGTCTCACCGGCGGGAACCGTCATGGTCAAGACCTGCATGTCGTGACCAGCGACGCACCATTGGTGGCCACCGGTCTCGTGGGAATCCTCCGTCGCAAGCGGGGGCTTGTACCAAATAAAGTTGGTCTTGAGGGGGTCAAAGAGTTGCACTTCTTCTGCCGTGAGCGGAACGGTTTCCGCCGCAAAGTCTGGACGCTCGGCAAGATCGGGTTTCTTGTCTCTCTTGCTTCTGCCCATGGTGGATGTGTTTTTGTGTTCCTGATTTGGCTGCGAGTTAGAATGCGTCCTGTAGCGTACAGAGATGTTGTTACTGGCTGTTGGCCATGTATCGTTCCGACGAGCAATGATGGTGATGAAGATTCTTCGTGTCTAGCTCGGATCGTACAGCCAGAGAGGTATCTCCTGGGGCTACGGTACGTATCGTAGAAAAAACAGTAGATGGATTTTTTGTTCCTTGGGGAAGATCCAAGACCGAAACAGATTTTAGGCCAAAATGTACGAGTATTTTGCTGTGTACACGCGATGTTGCTTTGCTACAGTACGATTACTACGACATTATGTTCCGTTCAACCGCTACGAGTACCGTACTCGCTTTGGGTACGACAGAAGAACTGGATTTTTTATGACACCAAAACTGAAATTATGGGAAGGCTGTGACACTGTCCGGAAAGATATTCAGGGGGAACTAAACGGGGTTACTGATATCGGTGCAAACCCCCATTTTCCCTCTTTTGGAGTCGATACGGATTACGGATCACCAACTAACGTGCAACAGGTTTTTAGCAGTGTTTTTGAGAAAATGATGGGCGACGGTGAGACCGCCCCCCATTTCCAACAAACTACCGGTAGCTTCGTCTTCTTCACAACAACACAGCCTAGTCTCGACACATTCGGCTTTGAACAAACGGAGTAAAGGAGGAAGCAGCGCTAGCACCAATCAGAAAGACACAGCATTGAGAGAAACTCGAATCATTCCGATTGACGGTTAGATAACATGAATTCGGCGACCCGATTGTTCTCGCATGCGGCTCGGCGTGCGGCGGTCAGCAACGCCACACCGGCACTCCATCCTTGCGATTCGCTTCTCCGAGAGACCACCCGCACGTTTGTTGTGGCCGCATCCACGCCATCTGTTTCCTTGTGGAGCGACATGGGGACGGATTCTCGTTCGCAGCAAGCAACAACAACAACCAACGAGGATGAGCAGCGTCGCTTCCGTTCGAACCGATCCCGCCGGGGCCTGTACGACGGAAAGGACATCCGAACCGGAAACAACCTCTCCTTTTCGATGAGGCACACCAAGCGAACCTTCAAGCCAAATGTTTTTGTCAAGCGTGTTTATTCGGAAATCCTGGACGAAATGGTACAGTTCCACCTCACCACCTCGACACTGCGGTCCATCGACAAGTGCGGTGGCCTGGACAACTACCTATTGACGAGCAAACACATCACGTCCGGAGAAGGACTCAAGACCAAGAAACGAATCATAAACACTCTAAAATACAACGAACGGAAAGCTCGGAAGCTAGAACAAGGAAACTAGAAAAAGCTACCAGGGAATCACAGAGTCAATATTTGCCGATTGCTTCTATTTGTTGCGACAAATTCCAAGACGGCAAGGAAGGAAGAAGGGAAAAAAGTGAGAGGGGATTTGTAGAGCACTTGGGAGTGGATTCAGTCCTTGAAAACGGAAACAAAAGAGTACTTTCATGAGTGGTAAAGATAGAGCAAATGGCAATAAAGAATTTGAACCTGACTACCAGACGAAATCAATATTCTCGCACTAATTTCTGACTAAAAAATTTTCCATTATACTTGTACTTGGATATGTTCAGACGTAGCACTTAGTTTAGAAGGTAATTAGCATTCCTATTAATTATTGAATAGAATTATGTTAGCAACCGAGTCCGCCATATCAAATAGGGTACTCAAATTAACACTGCCAAGCCTTCGAAATGATTTCTTTTGCTTCCTTCACCTCCTTGAACTTTCTCGCAGCTCTCTTCTTGTTTCCCTTGTACTTGTCTGGGTGATATTTTCTGACAAGCGTCTTGAACTGCTTCTTCAGCCACGCGCATTTCACCTCCTTGCTTTGTTGATCGAGGTCGATTGGCAATTGTAGGATCTTTGCATGATCCCGTTGTGGCGGTCTACCATCTGGGTAGCCGGTGTTTTCGTTGAACTGATAATCCTTCACCCCACCATTCCACAATTCCTGTTGGCGCTGGGTCTGTTTCAGTCTCTGGTTGAGCTCATGTTTTTCTTGCATGGTTTCCTGCGTTTCGGGGACGAGGTCGAAGGCCATCCTAAAATCTCCCACCGCCTCGTCGTAGTCCATATCCAAAAGGAGAGCTTCGGCACGCACCAAATAAGCTTCCTTTTTCGATTCGTCCGACACCGATTCGTTCCCGGCTCTTTGTTCTACGGCAGAATCGCAGTTTGCCAGGGCTTCCTCGTGTTTGCCCATGCCACTCAAAATGGTACATTGTTTCAGTTGAATCTTGCTTCTAAACAGTGGCGAGTCTACGTCAAGACCGCGCATGGCTGAAAGGCAGTCGTCAACAAATGTGGAAGCGGCCTTGTTGTATCCTTTTTCAATCTGTTCGTCTGCCTTGGCCATAAGCTTCACGACTTTCTTTAGGCCTCTGTACTGCTTCCTCGTCTTTTTTTGTTCGGGGTCGAACTTCAGAACGGTTTGGTAGAAGGAGATTGCATTTTCTGATAGACCTAGTTGCATCGCAGCATTCGCTCCTAATGTAACAGCAATCATTCTAGGGCTGTCGTCAACCCAAGGAGTGTATGATGCCGCTTTTTGGATTAGGCGACCAGCGGCCGACAGAGCATTTTTGTGGTCTCCCATCATCTCGTGACACCGAGCCTCAATAAGAAGTATCTCTGTGGTCTTTTCTGATGGACGCACCTTCTTGATGAGCTGAAGCACGTTGCTCCAGTTTCCACCCTCTGGACCCTCCGCAACAAATGATTTCATGATTTCCAAAATCAGACCATTGTTTGTTTCTGTTTCGACCGTACCATCCGCTCCAACCGAAGCAGACGACACTTTTGATCCATCGGCAACCATTTCCTGGACCTTGACTCCAAATTTCACAAAATCTGCCTCGTATTCTTTCTTCCGTTGGAGGGCTTCTTCCATAGCCACACGTTCTTCCGCTTGCCGGGCTTCAAGTTTGGCCTCTTCTATCGCATCTCTCTTCTCTCTCTCTCGCTGCCGTTGGATGCTTCCAAACGCCCATTGCAACGAACGCTTGCACCGTTCAACAAAGTCAACCTCGATACCTGTTTTCAGCAACGCTCGGATCAAATCTGCTCCCGCATCGTCGTGCATATCTGCCTTGCGCATTTCTTCGGCACGCTTCCAAAGCTTTCCGGCACTGCACTGGCGTTTGCCGCAGTGAGTTAATTCCTTCGGAGGTTCGTAACTCCCCTTATCCAGAACTCCTTGCAATTCCTGTGCCACTTTCAAAACTGATTCCTGGGTCTCGCTGGGCGAACCAAAAGCGGAGGAATGTTCCTCTCCAAAACGAAAGGCTGCCACTCCGACATCCTCTCCGTCATAGACACTGACAATGACTGTGTTTGCAGCTTTGCAGCTAGCAGCACAATTTTGGAGCATAAAGCCGGGATTCTTTTCACATTCTCCCTCGCTTGCCCATTGTTTGCACTCGAATTTTTCCCCATCGTCGCCGAATTCCTTATCGACTCCATCCATTGGCCTGTTTGGATCTAGCTGGACTTCGATCGACGCCACGACCTTTGGCTCTGCCTCTGCTTTGGTCGCATCCTCCCCTGCAGTTCCGTGAAGCGTCGCCAGCACGGCTACCACCCATACTAGCAGCCGGGGGAAGGAGTGGTTGAACATAATCGCCATCGTGAAGACGCAATCTTTGTAAGAGTCGGTGTAGTTGTTATCGAATAACGCGTTGTGAGAATATTTCGTGGCGTTCGTCGATGGTCATTCAGTATCAGACGGTTCGGTACGAGGTACTACGTACCGCACGTACAATACTGATAGTAATTTCATGCCATCATCAATCAGACATTCTTACAACCGGCGAAACAAAATTTTTGACCGCGACTCTCTCGCTCTCAAAATGGGGTTTTTGCTCGTCGCAAAAAACGACACGCGGCGTTTGCCGTTCGGAACGTACGATACTACTGTACGGATGGTACCGTATCAGGTACTTCCTCTGTTCCCATATGTATCCATTTCCTTCACTAGCACTGAAACAAGCTCAATATTAGTCGTTTTGAATGGTTCTTTTTGTGTCAATCTTATCTAACCCAATAGTATTTTTATGTACTACTTGCTTTCTCTTCCTCTTCCTTGTCATCCGAAGAAGAGGGTGACCCAGCAAGAATCATGGAGATGGTGGTGGTGGTGCTGCTGGTGGGGTAGCAGGATCCAATCCACTCAAACGTCTTGACAACCACCATTTCTTTATTTTTCTTATTCTTTTCTTCTTCATTTCCATTGCACTGGCTGCTGCCTTATTCTCTCCCTCTCTTTGACAAGTACCAGTTAATCAGTAATAAAATGCATTAACCGTAAGATCCCTACCGCGCACTACTTGAAAAAAAGTAATTTTACTCCAAGGGATTTTGCCATATTATCGCTAAAACACCATCTTCACCATGGCCAGACTGATAACTTTACAACCAGAGCACCTATGAACACAAGAAAGGTATCGTTACGAAGCTCTTTGTCTGTTTAATAAGCTCGTCGAATGTCGTTTGTATTGCTTTTAATCTCACTTAGCTCCTACTGTATATCTACACAGGGCAAAATGACCCAAATTCGTTAATTTTCAGCACTGCCCATGGAGACAGCTGCATCTTTATAACCAAGCATCAGATCTTTATGGGAATTGAACGGGTGGAAAGAGCACAATTGAATTAGTACACCCACATGTTGGCCTTTTCTAAGGACTTGTATTTGGTGCCAAATAAATTTTTGAAATAGGGCCTATGGACCAAGGAATTATGGAATAATAACAACACACCATGGTGGCTTGAGAAACGACTACAAGGAAGGCACTACAGGGAAGCCTAAGTAGTGGAATCGAAAGAACACTATCAGATTGAGGGGTACAGAGCTAAGAAGCACCATCAGGCGACTTTTGGTTGAAAAGTTATGTCCAAGAGACAGAGGGGTTAGGGACAACAAATGGTGTAATTTAAGGAACTACTAGCAAAGTCAAAAATCCATAGGAAGGAGGTTCCGCTGGAAAATTCTGAGTAGCTGAATTGAAAGAACACTATCAGATTGAGGGGAACACAGCTAAGAAGCACCATTGGGGGACTTTTGGTTGAGAAGTTATGCGCAAGGCAAGTTTGGGCTTCTGCAGTGGTGGATGGAATGGAGCCAATTTAAGTAACTATTAGCGACGTCGCGAACAACTACAAGGAGGGCTCCCTGGCCAATTCTGAGTAGCCGAATGAAGAGAACACTATCAGATTGAGGGGAACACAGCTAAGAAGCACCATCAGGCGACTTTTGGTTGAGAAGTTATGCGCAAGAGACGGGAGTGGTTAGGGACAACAAATGGATTTGTGCCATATGGATTATTTTCTATGATTCCTACCACAGGAAGGAATTGTAGGAGATAATCTATATAGTACAGCATCATGGACATTATCATATGGATTATTATCTATCTGTCCTCCTCCTCACACTCTTTCAAGAAGTCTTCCTTTTTTTCTTTGTCATCTCTTTCATTGTGTTCCTCAGTGCTTTTTTTTGAAGCATTCTGTATCTACCCAAGGCTGTGTCTTTGATGTGAATTGGACTAGTTTTCAACCAGGTAAGCCTTCCCTGTTTTTCATCATTCCACTTTGTATATGGTGGAGGTTTGGTATTAGCATCCTTCACCTTCTTGTACTTGTCCCTCAACTCCGCTATGTTCTTTCCTTGCTCACTTCGATTGATTCTGTAAAACAGTAGAAGTGATCTCAGCTGAGGCATACGTAGGGCCTCCAAGTGAATGGGTGGCTCTGTCTGCAAGATGCCAAGTGCTGTTTTTTCTCTTTTCTCTGCCTCCATGCATTTGGCTTTTTCTTTCTCCAAAAGTTCAATTTCTTTCCTAATGTTGACCAGTTCAGCGGCCTTGAAGAAATCGTCACTGGTTGCGTGGCTACCCCCTGTGACAAGGGACCACTCTCTATGGGTTTTTGCATTTGCCAGTCCCTCAATTCTTTTCTTTGAATTTGGTCAAGTGACTGCTATTTCCTGATGATTATTTAACTTCAGTGTTGCCCTCAAGTGTCGGCCATCATATCCTTTGGTATCAAGGAGTCCACATGCTAAAGCATTTTGTTGTTCCATATCCTTGGTGTACACCAGACTGTTTGGATCACCAACATCATTCTGGCTGACATCTTTGGAATCAAGGCATGCCATTGTGCATGGAGCAGCACCAACTTTTTTCCACGCATCAAGATTTTTCTTCCTTGAAAAAGCGGCAGCAAAGCTATCAACATAACCATCACATCCACTGATTGGGTCAGTACCACCAAAGACAAGAAGCCCAACAATAGAGGGTGGGAAGGAAACAGTTCTGTTTTTCCTTAAGCAGTCTTCAGTCAGCTTTTTCAGGTTCATCTGATATTTTGTTTTGAAGAGACCATTAGATTGGTCAGTCTCTTGGCTCAGCACAGCAGTACTATTTGGTACACATGGATAGAGAATGAACCCATGCACTCTGAGGCGGGCAAGCATGTCAACATTCAACCTTCTTGGTCCAGAATCAATCTTTATCATGACACTTCTTCCATTTTTGTCCGCTGCATTTGGATAGAGAGGTACGATTCTATTGAAGATATATTTTTCAAATTCTTTGTCATCCATGCCTGCCTTTTCATTGATACCCAACGTTACTGGGAATGAACGACACTCATCTTCAAATCCAAAACTACCATTGACATTTTTGCAATGTAAGATTGTTTCTAACTTCAGTTTCATTCTTTCGTCACATGTTGCCCTTGTTCCAAATTGAAGATGAGGAGGAAGCGCCTCACCATATGCAGTAGAACCTGCTATGAAAGTGATCGACACACTTGATTTTGAAACTCTTCTTCCAATTGAAGGTAGATTTGGATCTACCAACTTGAGGATGGCCTTCCACCTCTTCTGCCATTTCCTCCATCTAGAGACAAGCATGATTCATCAAGATTGATGATCCGTTTCAACTGCTTTTCAGAAATCTCAATTCCATTGATGCCACCTACTGTTGCAAATCCAAGCTCAACCAAATAAACTTCAAATTTGTCTGTGTTGTCCAACGAGCACGACAATCTTTGACTGGGTTTAAAACTTTTGTCTTCAGATTCACTGTTGTTCAATTTAAAACCAAATAATAAAATTTTTCACCCCCTCTGGTTGCAGCAAATGACAAGATCCCAATTGTTGCATTCAAACGTTGAATGAGACACCAGCGATCAATAGTGTAGGCATCTCCATTGGCCTGATTGATCTGGACATATGTTTCAAATGCATTGACAACCAAATCCATTGCTTCTGGAGGAATATTTCCAGGTCTTGGACCTTTTCTGGCGGGTGCCTCTCCAGAACAACCTTCACGCACAGATCTAAGCACAGTTCAATGGTTCAGTTGAGTTCCATACTCTGTATTGACAGCTTTGACAATTTTTGCAGCACTTCGTCCCTTGCCTTCAGGGTCCTTCAAAGATTCTTGGTAAAGCATGGTTGCCTTGATGTGAGCACGTGCAACATTTTCATGCTTGATTTTTTTGTTTGCACGTTGGATGTGTGCATTTTTGACATTGTCTTTGGCACTAACTTCTTGTTCCTTGGTGTCACAACCAGGAGTGGTGCCAGGTGTAACTTTGCCAGGAGCTGAGCGCTTTGAAACAGATGGGGTGGAAGGAACCACAGTTTCATTTTCAGCAGTGGTCTTTTCAGCAGCCTTTTCAGATACTTCTTCTCTCATTTTGGTAACAAGTCTTCAAACCCGCATCTGCATTGAAACTTTGTGAGCTTCAAACTTTTCAAAATCAACAGCCTTCATTGCTTGTGCAACAGTGAGAACACGAGGATTAACAATGAGATCCGCAGCTAATTCCACCTTGTGTTTGAGTTCCTCATCAGGGGAAAGACAGGGGATTATGGTGGTGGTACCACTAGTAGTACTAGTACTGCATGAAGCAATCTTCTTTTTTGCAAATCCATTTGGTGGTGCAGGTGGTGGAGGAGTGTTTTTTCTTGCTTGCAGTAGTACACTTAGTACTAGCAATTTTGCTATGAGCAGGAGCCATGATGAGATTTTGCTTTAAACTAAACAATAGATGTATGTTGAATAGGAATCAAAGAATTAGTAGACAATTGCAACAATAGATTCATTTAAAACAATAGCAATACATGAGTTACTACTGGAAAGAGATAAAAAAAGCTAAAAAACAGCTCTTGAGTTTAAAAAACAGTATGAAGGGGATTCGTACTGCTGAATCCTTTATTCACGTAGTATGTACGTACACAGTTTCAGTACCGCTTTAGGAATCCTACTTACGTACGTGCGTAGGCAAAATTAGTACTGTGGTACTAATTCTACATACATACAATAAGTAAGTAGATTTAGTACTGTGTTACTAATTATACATACACCTTTTACGTACGTACACTACATACCAAGGAGGGGGGAATATTTTTGGTCGGTTGCTTTGAAGATGATCAAAATAGTGTTTTGCGAGGCCATTAAAAGTGCTGAAGAACTGGCTAAAATGAGATCCCCTTTGGGGATATGCTTGGTCATAGTGTTAATGCTGGTTAGAAAATAGGCCAGATCTTTATCAAAAAACAACTTTAGACCAGCAGACTAATCGGCCAGACCAAGATGATACAATTACTTAGCAATCCAGGTCATTGGGATGCTTAAGGATGCTCTGTCAGCTTAGAACTGGTCTGACAAAGTTACAGTAGTAGTTGGCCTAAAATTATGTGTTAATTCTAGGTGTTATTTTATTACCGATTAACTGGTAGCTTCCTCTTTTTCAAGAGTGATAACACACCATGGGAAATGCATATGGGGTCCTTCAGATGATATGACCACCTGCCAGGTGTACAAGAAGGCAGTGCCTTCTTGTACTACACATGCAACAACTAGCCATACAATGCAGATTCCTTGTTGTTGTCATCCAAGATGTTGCAGCATTGATTCTCAATGATATTCCGAAAGCAAGGCTATGGTAACATGTCTCCAAGACAGTACTTTTTGAAATTACTATTTTCTTGGATCTGGAAAAATTCAACCATTTCCTTCCTGTTTGGTGTTTGCAAGGCTTAGCTGCTTTTGGGCAACAAGGCATTCCAACTGACTGTTGGGTACAAAATTGACTCCAACCATTGCTGAATGCAGAGATTGTTTCACTTTCATCAACATCTTGAGCAAAGCCAAGGACGAGGGTACATATAGGACGAGGGTACATATAGGAAGAAGTCAGCAGGAAAAATGTCCACAATTTACCAGCAACAAAAGCTTCCCATCATCTACATTATCTGGATATTTCTTGTGATTCTTGACAAGATTGCCAATGTTTGCCAACATGTTTTGAGGCTCCTTGGAATACTTTGGCATTGAACTGACCATTCTTTTCCACCTTGATTCCATTGTGAGGGAAAAGAATAAAATTAAAATTAGACTTTGGTCCAAATCTGTCTCAAATGGGAAAGTTTCTAAGAACTCCTGTCTCCCCAATGCTTCTCAATAGCCCACTGGTGAAGGATCATCTTTATGTCATTCATAATTTGTGGTGGGAACAACCCTGGGTAGCCCTTATCCTTCTTGAGTGTTGAAAGAATTGCTGTTAGTTGCCAGAGAAGGGGTCTTTTTGGGTGGTGACCATAAAACTGCTTTGTTGTTGGAGGGCTGGGAGGAATTTTTATGGAAAAGATTGCAGTACTCAATAATGGACTGATGGCAGTGGGTGAGTGAAAGGATAGTAAAAGCTTTGTGATCAGAGGATAGCTACAACAACAATACTAGTAGTAATACTAGTAGTACTACTAGTACTACATTGTTGGATTTTCATATCAGCAGGAGTTGATTTTGGAAGGAGCGCAAAGAAGTATTTAGGGACTTCTAATTTTTTGGTCAGGAGGGGGTGTGGGGAAGAGGGGAAGTGGAGAGGGGAAAATTAAAAAAATGGCTGGAACTGTCAATAACTTGGTTGGCATAGCGCTTGTAGTAAAGTACTACTAGCACTACTAGTACCGGTAGTACTACTAATAATAATCCTGGTCACCTACGCGCCTTCGGTATGCGCATTGGGTTCTGGTTTGGGGAATGACCCAAAAATAACTTTCGCATGACTAAAGTGTTGTAATTACTAGAAGCAGTACCGCACAAAGAATTCTGTCATCGCAATCCTAATTCCAAGTGAAGTGTGATAACGCTCTGACAATCGATCTGTCCCTCAGAGACATCCTTAAAATGGGAGAGGAAGCTATTATTCGATGCGGGACGACCAAAGGAGACATTACTTTGAAATTCATTCGGGTGGGTAGTTCTGGCGTTTCGTAGCACCATTATTTGATTCCGGGCAAACGACATCATTCAATTTTGACACTCTGAGCCAGTGCTCTATCGATGATTTGGTCTGTTTGCCTGGTCTGTTTCTTGGTATTGATATTCCCATTGCCTATTCCTACTACTATCTTGGCAACAAACACTGACACTTTCCAATTTTGTGCTACAACAATGTCTCTATCGAAACCTTAGGAATGGTCTCCAAACGGATATGACAAGGCCGTTGAGCTTTTTGAGCGTCATTACTACGATCATTCCCACTTCTTTCGGGCAGGTAAGTCCTTTCTGGGGGTTCGTAGATCAGATTGGTTGTTCTTTGGACAAAATACTAACCTCTTCCTTCCCATTTCGTATCAAATAACAGTGCCCAAGTTTTTGGTCCAGTTCGGCATAAGCTACAGCGAAGACCAAGAACTAGTATCCTTCGGCAAGCTACAAATCAAAGACGATCCCAAGCACGATCCTCCAATTGAATTCCATCCAGGGATCATATCGTACGCTGGGAGTGGACCAAACTCTCGGACATCGCAACTCTTCATTAGTTATGGGAGTGCTAAATCGCTCGGAAGAGAATTATGGGAGACTCCAATAGGGAAGGTAATCGAGGGTATGGACGTTGCGGAGCAATTTTACTCGTATGGAGATATGCCTCGTAAGTTTTTTCGAGATGAAATGAAGGGGCAAAAATGGTAAAACGCGGTAACTCGGTCTATTCATCTCACCATTTTATTTCTTCCTTTTCTACCACGAATCAACGATCCCCAATACTTCAGCGTGGGGGAAAGGGCCTGTACAAGGTAAAATCTACAATGGTCCCAAGTATATCGAAGATAACTTTCCGTTGATAGATAAATTTCTGGAATGCGAGGTAGAACGGACAAACAGTGGTGAACAATCACCGAGTGGCAGCGATGACGAAAAGGCCGGCAGCACTGACGATGGCGAAAAATCATCGGACGCCGATTTGAACGAGGGCGGGAACGACGATGATGCACACGGTATGGACGATCCAATGAATGGAACAGGCGCCCCGAAAGAAAAGAAGAATCACTATAGTGATCGTTCGGAGCAAAAGATAGATAAATTCTATGCTGTCCCACAGGGTTTGCATGAGAAGAGTCTGCGCCTTCGTGGGAATTTTGATTCGAACAGTTTCGCATTCCCCGCCGGCGTGATTTTTGTCATGGTGCTTCTTACCTTTATATTGCGTGGCCGCGGCAAAATCAGTGCGAAAGAAAACTGAACGAACAATAACCCTGATATTCCTCTAGAAATGTGACTCGGGACGGGAACGGTAGTGATTTATGTCTGCACCAACACAAGCATATTCCAGTAGCAAAAGCGGTGATTTGTGTATGGAAAGGTTTGAAAGCCTGGTTTTATTAACGAAACTACCAAGGCGCTTAAAATCTAATAAGCTCGACGCAACTGGTGGTTTAATCTACTAATGAAGCATTTGGTTTGAAGGATTCTCTACCAAAATTTCCACCACGATGAATGCGATTGCTTTTGATCATTCTCTTTCTCGGAAGGTGTTCTCGATGAATCAATCGCAACTTGTCTCTCCTTTACGCTGTCAGATTCTTCGTTAATTCCGGTAGCACTAACATCTTCGTCGTTGTCGATTATCGGAACCAGCTGTTCTTTAGGAGGCTCGACGTATTTTGCTTTCTCTGTGCCACCAACCGGTACTATTTGTGTCAACAGAGATTTCTTGTCCTCTATCCTCTGTTGTTGGCGGACCAAATCTTCGATAGCCTTGAGCCGGATATCGAGTGCGTTCAGTTTGGCGTTTAGTTTCTTTTGGTCCTCTCGTATTCGTTCCCGCTTCTCCTCAGCTTTTCTTGCGGCACTCTTGGAGCTACGGTTGTATTCAAAAATGACAGTGGCAGCAGTCACGGCAACCACGAAACTCTCGCCGGCAATTTCGGCTCCATCTTTGAGAGCCTTTTCGGCCTCGATGGGTTTGATGCTCCTGACGCGATACCCCGACGCCCAGATCGTCATGTACGATGTTACCGTATGGTTGGTTTGCCCGATGCTAATGAGCACTTTCTTCGCGGCTTGGTTCTCGCGAAAATTGTTTTTGATGCTCTTCGATAAGGGCTACAAGAGCAATGCGTCGACGGTGGCGGCAGCATTTCTGTGAGCGGGGTGCGAACCGATGCAGATTTGCTCGATCTGTATACGCAACGCAACCGACTATGATCTCAACTCCATGTCGCGAAGACTCACCTTGGCAAGGGTCTTTACCACAAGAGCCGCCAACTTTGTAATTCTGTTTCGGAGTCGCAAACGCAAAACAGAAAAATAGCAAGAAGATCGATCGATGCGCGCGGGGGGGGATGGGACAGTGAGTCCGATGATCAAGTGACAAAAATCATCATCCACGGCGACGCAAAATAAATTTTACTTACGGTAGAGCTGCTGCCATGGTATATTGTGGTTCCTAGTGATAGTGATCTCAATATTATCGATCCTAAGCAATCGGACTTGTTGGGCGGACGGATCTGTACAGAGATATTAAAATGGATCGTAGCATACCATACCGTACCGGATAAGAATTGGGCCGGTACTCGTACTGGTATGATTTGAGAATTGAAAGTTCTACAACACGTAATGGCGATTGTATTTGCTGAGCTTATGCTGTTGATTGTACTGTACCCTAATTACCGTCCACGAGTACGTACCGTACTGTACTGTGTTTTCCTTTTTCCTGATCAGATCAGTCAGTTGTAATTGTTGTACCGTACGTACTGGTACGTACGATACTCGTACCACTACGAACTGATGACAAGAGGGGATGAAATTCGAAATTCAAATTTCGAAAAAGGACGGAAACTCGTAAAAAATCGGCTCGACTAGTAGTTAGTACTTGTACGTACGTATCGTACTATACGCATTCCATCGATCGTCGATCACCACGATTACCGATTACGAATCAGTAAAACGGTACTGCGTACGACTAGGATGAGTCGAGTCACGCGTGGGCTTTCAAATAAATTACGAATAGAACCGTTGAATGCTTGATTTTTTGAGTTCGACGATTGATTTTGCTACAAGATAGAAACACCTACAGTAATAGTTTTACGAAGGAACGGGTGACAACATTATGACTTCCATCTCGACTTCTGGTTTTCCATCCGGGTTTAATGCAGGTACGTACTGTACGTATGCGTACCGTGCGTTCGTACTAGTCATTCTAGCACAATCGTTTGACGCACCGGTAGGTTAGGATTGAATACGAACTTTAACTATCCAGACGAACTCTTCGGCCTAATAGCAACTGAGCATACAGCACCAAAGAAGTACGAAGCACAGCCTCTGCATTGCTTTGTACGACTATTCCGTTAAGTAGCGACCAGCAATCATCTCATATTATTCATGCAAGGAGGAACAGGTGAAAATACAGATAAAAAAGGAAGAAAGATGGCATCGCTTTTCAATTCTCGACGAGCAAGATACGGTAGCCACCGAAAATCGTTGCTTTTCATTCTGATGGCGGCGGCGATGGCGTTCGCGTTGGTCATGGGAACGGCATCTGCCGACTTGCAGGATTACATAGACGACGAAACTGGGGAAGTGAAATCATTTGACCCCAACGAGCAATTTTCTATCCATGTGGTCAACAAGTCCAAATATCGAGCGGATGTCTACTGGGACGACGGATGGCAGGGAGTGTCTATTGCTACCGTCGATCCAGGAGAAACGATGGGAGTTACAACCTCTCAGGGACACGCCTTCTTCATCACCAGACACGGCGTTCGTGAAAATTTGTATCCAGAAGCTGTTGAAGGAGAAGAAGACAAACCGCTGAGAATAGTGGCCCAGAAACCAAACGAAAAACTTGTTATTCCGGAGGGTGCAGCACCGTTGAGAGGAGAACGTGCGGAGAAGAACCGCTGTGTCGATCGTTATTCAATGTGTGCAGGCGAAGGTGAGACAAGTCTATCGAGCGATTCGTCGGTAGTAGATACATCTGGTGCTCGAAATCGTGTTTTCCGCTTACAATGTACTTTACTTGATTCTGTCGTAAATTTATTTCGTTGCCTTCCGTTTCCAGCCACAAAAGGATTGTGTTCCGAGGCTCCTGGATGGATGATCGTGAACTGTTGTAAAAGTTGTGACGAGGAGTTGAACGCATCCGAATTATTGGACGCCGATATTCGATGCTCTAGAGAGAACCTCGGCATGGGGGGTCCGGCGTGGGAACCAGGCGATCTCAACAAGTTGTTCGAGAAGTGGGTCACCGACGAGGACTTCCAACAGTACACACCGAATGTCTTGAGCTCCCCCGGTGCAAAATTTGGTGGGCGGGATGGACCGTGGATTATTACGTTCGACACCTTTTTGACCGACTTCGAATCAGATCAGATCTGGAAGGGCGGAGAACTTGCCGGATTCGATCGTTCTACCGATCAGGGACAAGTAAACCAATTCGGTGAAATGGAACAAGTAGTCTCAAAGACACGAACCTCTTCGAATGCGTGGTGTACCGACAAATGTGAGATGTTGCCCGGTGTCATAAGCGCAACAGAAAAGATCCAAAAGGTGACGGGAGTCCCCAAAGTAAACTATGAATCCTTTCAAATATTGGAGTACCAAAAGAATCAGTTTTATAGGATGCACCACGATTCCTCGGATGGAAAGGATGACACCGCAGCAGGACATCGAATCCTTACCTTCTTTTTGTACCTATCGGACGTGGAAGAGGGTGGAGCGACACGGTTTACGAAACTAGGACTCGATGTGACACCGAAGAAAGGACGGGCCCTCGTTTGGCCATCCGTATTGGATGAAAATCCCGAAATCTCAGACAGACGCATGTATCACGAGGCCACTGATGTCATTCGTGGAGAGAAAAGAGCCGCCAATCATTGGATTCATTTGTACGATTACGAGACCCCAAATCTATGGGGTTGCACGGGTGCTTTCTCGTAAACCGCGACAACACCCGTGTGCTTCGTTTTATTTGATACATGTTTAGGCAAAGCCGCGTGGACTTTGATGAAACTGGAAAAGGCAGCAGGTTGTGACGTCGCACGTCACGCGTTGATCTTAGTCATCCACAAAGCAATAAAAAATCAGAAATTGTATTTAATTTTTCTATTTGATTCCTTCTTATTCATTTCGAAGTACTCGAAAGTGGCGTAATTATGAGACACAGGAATAGGCAGCGTAACCACTAGATATGTCGTTTATTGTTGGAGCTATGTATTATTCGATTAGAGTGCATAGTAAATAATAATTTTGAAAATATGATTTATTTTATGCAACGAATCGTTACTTTTGATACTATCAAGAAGATCCAGCTTCGATGCCGTTCATCCGCATCCTCGCTCGCTGCCGCGCCCTGAATTGTGTTCCGTAGCCCCCAGTACCGGTAGGACCGGTATCTTCGTCCGAAGAGTCACCTCCGTTGGCATCGAGCGCCGACCGTTTTTTCCCGGATTGTGATGATGACGAGTTTTTCCCTTCGTTGTCATCGTTTGGTCGTTCTTCTGGCAGTTTGTTCTGACGCAGGGACGTCAGCGCTTGCACCACTAGGTGCGGTGGAGCTTTCGGAACTATCGGGCTTCGCAAGCGAGAGGCAGGAAGCATGAGCAACATCCCCCGGAGCCACTCAGGCTGTTGCTGAATTGCTAGCTGGATCGGGGTGTTTTGGAATCCCGGTCCCGCTCCACCCTGCTGCTGTGAGAGGCGTTCGCGCGCCGACAAGAGCTTGGAACCAGGTGCTTCCGAACCCCCCATGGTGCCAGGTATCAGGCTGACCCCGGCCGCGACTTTGTGGGCAAACTGCAACCGATTTTGGTACGATCTGTCGCTTTTACCACCGGGAATGAGCTCATCGGCACCATCGTCGGTATTGTTCAGCATGCCCGAATGCTGTTTCCGACTCGCTCCGTCTCCCCAAAGCCCCATGATATCCAAGACATTTACAGTTCTGCCGAGGCCATTGACAATGAGCGAACTCGTGTCGTATCCGTCGGTCCGGAGCAATTGCTCGGCGAGGGTCGATTTTTGTACACCAATTGTAGTACGATTGTCGGACAAACCCACACGCGATCCAGTGGATACATCCTCTATATCTGGACCCAGCAGGGCGGCGCGTCGTTTCCGTTCGATGGCGACTGCCACTTCGATGTTTTCTGGCTCCAAAATACTCCACAGTTCTTCGCACTCTAGCGTCATGTCCCACAAGGCCTCCACCTGTCCGCTCTTTTTGGAATCGGCACAGGCCGCAAGGGCTCTGGTCAGCAGTGCCCGAAGATTGACGGTGTCCTGCAGTTCCAAGAGCAGCTTGGCGTACTTGAGAACGTAGGAGGGCTTTGTCAAAAAGCTGGAATGCTTTCTCAGCCCGAGTTCATAGACACGTCCGGCAATTTCGGGCGACTTGTTGAGGCGATGCTCTATCGTGGCATGGCATGCGTACAGGTGCCACGTTATGGGACCCGGTGCAACCTGGATCGACGACGAGGTATCTTCTTGGTCGTTCGATGCAACTTGCGACTTCGCTCTGGAAACGGATTTGCTTCCAATGGAGGGATCCAACCGATTTGTGACCATCCAGCGTTTCCCATTAACTTTTGTAGCGGTGGAATCTTCCGACGCAGCGGGTTCTGCTCCTGCCCTATCTAGCTTCTCTCCCGCATTGAAAGACAACCCCGAATTTCCTGCGTCGTATCCATGGGATAGTATTCGGCGCGCCCGGGCAAACGTCTGGCGTGCTGCATCCTTTCCTCTGTATCGCCTTACGAGTCGCTGATACAGGCAAAAACCAAGCGAGGTGGGAGCCCGCTCGATGTATTTCTCGAAAACCCTGAGCGCCGGATTGTCGCCGGGCGATGCTGTTTTCGTAGTCCCCGCAGCGCTCGATGCTTTGCTCAGGAAGTGGATTTCCTCCAGCTGGGCCTGTGCGTGCACGAGCAGCGTCGAGTCCGGAATGTGTTCTTGCCCAAGTTCCAAGACCGCAATGGATCGATTTCCGAAAACAGCAGCGGGGTTTGCGGCGGATGTGTCGTCCGAAGCGGCGGCGGAGGAAGTCACCACCGTCTCTTCCCAAGTGCTCCACATGTGCCACACTTCCGGATAGAGAGTCAAGACGCAGACCATTTCCTTGTATGCCTGCCGTACCCTGTGTGCAAGCTCCTGCGTGTTGGTGAGTCGTTCGGGATTGGTGCGTTCGTAGGCGACACGTTTTTTCCACAGCGTCAGATAGTCGAATTCTTCCTGGAGTTTTTCGTTGTGTTCACGTAATTCTTCTTCGGTGGTGGCACCTCCACTTGCGTCCTTGTCATCTAGTTTTTTCTTGCTGTCGCTGCTTTTCTTTCCACCGGCACCGGTAGCTCCTATTCCGGGGGTTCCGTGATCCGCATCCATTTGGTCCACCCAGGACGTCGAGACAGGCGGTACGGCCAGGCGTGTCTTCCAGTGGAGAGCCTGTGGATTGAAGACCTTGTTTCGCTCCAGGTAGATATTCCGCGCGTGCTGGTATTTCGGTTGCCATTCTTGGACTAGGGCCGCTGCCAGGGCCTCACTCTGGTTCTTCTCGAAGCTTTCGTATTCCTGCCACAGCTGGTCAAGTCCAGTCATCGGATGGCAGATCAATTTTTGGTAGACCTCGCGCAGCCACATCATGTGCTGCTGGGGGGTCATAATCAGAGAGGCAGCGTTTTGTTCCCGTTCGCTGACGATGGGTGGGACGGAAGCCTTGCAAAAGTCCAGATATGCCTTCCACAAGAGGTGATTGTCGTGGCAGGTGAAGCCAGAAAATCCCAGGGCCAGCTCATAGGCTTTTCGGGAGTCTTCCATGATGGCCTTGCCCGCCTCCATGGTTTTGCTGTTGCCATGTTTGCGCCTGGTGTGCCGAATACGGGTTTTGATGTACAATAGCCACAAATCCACCGAGGGGGTGCAGGTTCCCCCCACGATTGCGGCTGGGGAATGCTGCTTGGTGGTGGTGGTGGCACCATCGGTGGTATCTTTCTCTCCGGATCTCGGCAGAGGCGCTACAGCAGCATTGTTTCCTTCGAGATCCACCCCCAGGGCCTTTCTCAGAATCGTCTCGAGTTTCCACTGGGCCTGCTGGGACCGTGACATGGTTCCTGGTGCTTCCTGTCCGTAATCGGTGGTGGGTCCGCCCTCCTCACCAACCCGTGCCGACTGCACAAAGAGTATGTCTCCGACCGAACGAATGTGTCCGCAGGAGTACGGAAAGTACTTCAGAAAGGCTCCGTAGCACGATTCGATCCAGTCCAGCTGGAGCTGCGTTTCGGCGCTAGTCCGTGCGGCAATGTTCACGTGTACGACCTGCATGCTTCTTGCGCTGTTGCTGCCGGTGCCACCGATCCCCCCGTCGCCGTTGTCGGCGGACGAGTTGTGCAGGGATTTCCAGCAGGCCGAGGCTTCCGCGAGCAGCGCCCCCCAGGCCTCCACGTCCGAACGGGGATCGGCGGCAATCCTCGTGAGCGCGTTCCGGTACCTGCTGCTCCCAGCTCCCCCTACCGAGTGGTGGGCAAAGGGCGACGGGGATATCACGGTAGAGAGCAGGTCTACGTCTCTGTGCGGAACCACCACGCTCGAACCCTGATTTCCGTAGCCGTACTGGTAATTTGCTTCCACACCGCTCGAATAGTAAGAGGCAGAACCACCCCCGGCCGCTACCCCGACGGTCGGTGCTGCTCCGGAGGAGGACGGCACGGCTTGTTGCTGGGGTTCGTCCTGGAGGGGTTCCGAGTCGTCAAAGAGATCTTCGTCCTCGTCCATTGCGTCATCGACTCCAGAGAACAAGATGAATTCGTTCTTGGGAGGAATTGGATTGCCGCTTGCATTGTGATTTGCATTCATCAGGGTGGCATCTATGCCCGGTGCTGTCTCGGAGGCGACGGGTTCTGTTTTGACGAGGTTTCGCCGTCTCGGATCGGTCGCCATGTTTATGGTCTTCGGGTAGAATGATTGGTCGATTTCTTCTCAAGAAACGCTTTAATTGAACTATTGGGAGTGAAAGCTGCTTTTAAGCAACGAGAGTCAATGTTCAATTCGTATCCCTTTTCGAATACGGCTCAGCCCGGTCGCAGCAATCTTGCTGTGTGTAAGCATGAACGAATCGATCGTTGACCACTTCTGGGCCCTGTTGATTGCTCATCCGCAGATTTTGCATGCCGGATACTGTACCGTACGGTACGGTATTTGTCGTATGGAATGCTTGTAGGCTGCTGACTGTACTTGACAATACGTTACAATCGAGCAGTGCATGTGAGATCGGAATCACCATCATGTTGGTGATAATTGTTATTGTTTCTTTGCACGCTCCTGTCTGGCCGCATATACGTTTAAGGAGAGTTGCGATGGACTCATTCGACCAAAAACTACAATAAAGTCCACAATCTAATCTAACCGATGAAGAGGAGAGAATTGGAAAGCGATGAATTTTGGAAATTTGGAAAATGATTGTCTCTGTTCTGGCTCGGGTCAAATAAATTGCTGATTGCGAAGTAGAAGTAATAAAGATACTACAGAAATAATGAATGTTTCGTGTTTGCTAGAAACTGAAATGTGGCTGAACAAGTACTGGAGAAATTCTCAAGTTTTCTTACACAATCAGGTCATACAATAATAATAATAATAACAATACAAATACTACATACTAAACGGTATATTCGCGTATGATCCGGTTGTGGCTTGGAAGATCGATTTCTACTATGATTACCACTCCACTCAAAAATTGACCTCGTAGGGCACGCTGTCGTCTATCGAGGAGTCATCTGGGATCCCGTCTGGCTTGTTGTTGTGGGCCTTGATGGTCTCGGTCTCCTTGCGGTCGATGATGAAACCCCTCATGCGCACGATTTCTTTCTCGGAGTCGTCGGCTGTGGGAACCTGAACCCAGCCCTCGTTCTTGACAACGAGATCCTTGATCGTCACCGCTTCTCTGGCGCCGGCGTCCACGACGAGAGTTCCGTCCAGGTCTAGGCTCTCGATTACGACGTCCGACCCCCTAACAACGAGCGTCGATCGAGGTGAAATCTTCACCTTCTCCGGGCACGGAAACTTCGCCTCGAGTTCTCTCTGGCAGCACGCAAAATCGGGCCCGAAAACGATGGCTGGGCCCGGGACCACCTCGATGCCGTTGTACACGACCGGGTCGGCGTCTTTCACGTCACACCCGAGGCTCCGCAGAAAGATGCGGGGGGCGGCGTACTGGTCCGCTTCCCCCGTGGCCGCCGTTCCGGGAGGGGTCCCCTTGGCCTGCAAGACGGCCCCGTCCGCCACCGCGTTCTTCACGGGGCTGAAGCAGATGCTGGCGGCGGCCTGGGTGAACCCAACGTGAGTGGACTCCTCGGTGCTCAGCACCGTCGGGAATTCCTGCATCATGCACTCCAGCCGCGTTGGCTTTTTAAAGACGGTCTTCGTATTGTCCTTGTACTTTGGATTGACAAAGTCGGGCATGACGCCCTTGGTGCGCTCCAAGACCTTGTTGTAACTGTCTAGGTGAAAAACGAGCTGGTTGATGTTTCCGGGAAAGGGGGAGTATCCGGTGGACTCGTCGTTCACGTCGCCATCTTTGAATTCTTCCGTGGATCGCAGGAGAGGATTCAGCTGGTTGTATTCGACGTTGACCGTTCTGGAATTCGCAATATAGGTGGGAGTTCAACAAAGAAATGAATGTCGTTCAAAGAGACGTTGTGAGATGTGGGATACATATGCCGATTCAAATCGTTGTTGCTTTCTTATGGATGTTCCACAATAGCTTTGGAAACATGGTATTGATCTTCTTGCTTCCAAGCCAAATACTCACCTTTCCTGCCCTGTCGAGGAGTTTGTCAGCGTAGTGATACCCCCGATCGCTTGGTTGGCCTTTCGGGGGACACACAACGAATTCATAATAAAACCATGTTGTTTCGATACTCCCAGCAAGAGAGGAAGCGTGTGGAAGGCAAGTCCATTGGTGTCTTGAAACAATACCATATACTCAATGTCCAATTTTTCTTGCCATTCCTTTGTAACACCTTCCTTGTACAGCAAGGAATGAATGTCGCCGTGGCCGTGGGGTTTCGTAATAATTCTGTAGGGATCATCTGGATCCACAGCAAAGTGGGCCTCGTTGTCAACCAAGGCCGGGACACCATCACCCTGCTGCACAATGTATATTTGTCTCCGCTTTAAACCGAAACATTTGTTTTCCCTCAAAAGTCGCAGGGTTGGCTCTTTCGTGTCGTTCGATACCATTATGCACAACGGCAAGAACTTGCCGTCGTTCCTCTTTTTCTCAGCTGCCAAGATGTAGGATGCGTAGTACTCTATATACAGAGTGCCGGTAGTGGATTCAGTGGGAAGTCCAATCTATAAAGTTGAAATGTCCGATAGATTTTTAATCAGATACTCAGTGACGAAACATACTCTGGAGTGCATTTCTCTCTTGCCAAAATGTTATTCTTTAAACAAAAATCTGCATACAATCGATCCCAAAAACCTACCTTTGCTCCATTGTAACCCAGTCGTTCTCCAAGACCTCCAGCAACGAGGACAAACCCTACTTTTTCTAACAGCTCCATACCCTTCGATTCCGTTTCTCGATATTTGTCGGTGCCGAGTTCAAAGGACTCTCCTTGAGGCACCGACGGGGCCCATCCGTCTAGGGGGTTGACGCCAGCCTTGCTGTCCTGCAATAATTTCTTTGCCTTTTGGACATAGGATCGCAATCCTCCAGGGTACCCCCCATCGAGTTTTACCAATTGCTGGCACAGACTACGGAGCTTGTCGTCGTCAACGCTACCGCCTTCGCAGTAGGCATCTAAAAGGTGCGCTTGACCGAGTTCTTCGGAACACAAATCTTCCAGAAGAGCCCGTTGCGTGTCGTCCGGGATCAACCCTTCCAAGTTTTCGGGCAAAGAGGAGGGCATTGTTGCTTCTATATTGTGACAAATTCCGAGTTCGGCCTTAGAAGGAATGGTTTGCACTTCAAAAAAGTGAACGTATCATCAAGTTTGGATTTAGATTCGAGATTGAAGACGCCGTTTTCAGATGAATTGTTATTCGTTCGGTTCCGTTGAGACCATATCCGGATAGTGGGTACGTAGTACAGTCGTACGAGTGCTAGTCCGGTACTTTAGACCTTACGGTAGTAGTTCTGATACAGTATCAACTTCAGTACGATACTATTACGCACTGAGGAAGAATCTGCTATCTCTTGACATCTGATCACTGATGTTACCATGGTACGTACGTACCGTAAGGCAGGGGTCATACTACGAATCCAGTAACAACAAAATTTGAACACAACAGTTCCTATCGTTAATTCAACAATGACGATGCCTGTGCACGAGATTAGTCTTTTGCGGTGCGCTGCAAGTTGAAGTCAAATTTTGAATAGCATATCAGCCGTTCCACAACCATCTCATTTCCGTAACTTTATATTTCTTCAGAAAAAAAAGGCATTCAACCTAGTACATGCTCTACATTAAAAATTTGTTGATACCATGTTTTTACATTTTTCCGACCCTCAAACTCCCTTATTCCAGAAGGACAATTCCAGTCAAATAACGACTATTTTTGTACTTTTTTATTCTATTCGACTTCCATGATTACGTGTACTTTTAAAACACCTGGGACATTATGAAACGACCCATTACACATTACCTGGTGAAGCTACTGTACCCAAGACTACTCCGACTAAGTAAAGAATGCTTATGCTCATCTCCATTATCATGTTCATCAGAATAATAGCCCTTTATAGTACTAATAGGGGATTAAAGAAAGGTAGAAATAAAGTAGCTTAAATGTACTACTAGAAATAAAGTAGCTTGTTGGTAGCTTTAAAGCTACTTTAAAGCTGCTACTTTTAAGCTACTTTAATGTTCTTTATGTAGAATTCAATGGGTATACTAGTATAATTTCTACGTGGTAGTAGGGCCAACTGGAAAGTTACTTTAAAGCTACTAGTAGCTACTTTAAAGTAGATTAAGAGTAACTTTAAAGTAGCTTTAAACTAGCTTTTAAGTAACTTAAGAGTAGCTTTGAAGTCAATTTCCGGTAGGCAATAGTATAGTACATTGCTTTGATTTGTTGTAGTACTAGTAATGGTGGGCACGTGCCATTTTGTACTGGTGGTATTGCTAAGTAGTCTTACCGTAGTACATGGGTCCAGAAGTACTAGTAGTAGCTACTAAAAGTATCTGGTATTGCGTCACTGTAGTATATGCTACTACTTACTCAGTTCTTTGAAGTTTCTCCACCAGCCTCATCCCCATGAATTTATAATTACAACCCCAATAGTAATAATAATAATAACCCCACCAATAATAACAATAATACAACAACAACAACAACATCCAAATCCCCAATCTAGATATTAGTACAGTACTACTACTAGGTTTATCCCCAGTCTCTTTCCCAATGTGCACCATGCCCTACCCTCTACTAAATATCATCCTGCTTACACTACCACCAGCATTGATAAGCTTGTCAATGATCCATTCTTCTCAGAGAAGAAAAGATGCAGGCAGCTGCTCCTACAGTAATAATGGAAACCGTTGACACTTTCTTTACCCCCACAAAATATCCACACCACAACCACTGTTCACTATGACAGGGAGCGACTAGTACAGCACCAAGACCATAATTTTCAAATCGAATTTTTTCAAACGCACGAAATTACACTTCGCTTATGAAAATTATCACCTAGAATTCCTACTGATTCCTACGTACATTCCTACCTGACAGGCTCCTTCTGACTTCCGAACCATGGTGACATCCCCTTCGGAAGGGGAGAATCCTCCTCCTT